CACTAAATTATCTGTCGAATAAGGCTATTCCGAAGGAAATCGAGAGGTGACAGTACTTAAGGTTCCCTTGTAAGACTTGTTAATATCAGAAATTATGTGGTCGACTTCTGCCGTTTTAAAGGTAACTCTGGATTAATTTAGTAGATCGCCCTGTTCGACTTTTGCGTCAAACAAACAAGGCAACTCCATTATGTACATAAAGTAAAATATGCATAAATTAAGCGAGTCTATGGAATTTGAAATGAAGCAAACTTATCTTAAATAGTTGCAAGAATGCCAAAGTATGTAAACGAAAATCAGGTTTCAAAAAATATTTGAATATGGGAATATGTACTTTGTAATTAAGTTGCTTCCCAATTACGTTAATATTAATTATTATTTGAAAGCGGTTTTCACCTAAAGTCTCCTAATTTTTTCCATAGAACCGTTATTGACCGTTTTCTGAAATTCTCAAAAGAAATTTCCCGATTTTGAAATATGTAAAGGTATGAATTAGTAAAATCTCACATTACCCCATAATTGGGGTATCGTTGGAAAGATTTGGCGGGAGGTTTCGGAATATATATACTTTGTCTGGTATATCACCACTCCCTGATGTTCCAGACACGTAAGAGTATTTTTAAGTTCTTACCAATCTATCGCTATGTTAGCTCCCAGTGAACCACTGTGTTAAATTCTGGACGCTTGAAATCGCGAAATTCGCTTTGCGAATTTCGAAAATCGGTCGAAAATGGTTGTAGGGAACAAAATTAAGAAATTTTTGGCGAAAACCGCTTTCAAAAATATTAACCCGTCTCTGTGCTAAAAATCGTGATTTTTTCCAACTTTGAGCTCCTCGCACTCAGCGAGGGGGCGAAGTAATTAGTGGTATCGTTGTATTCATGAAAATCATCTCTTCAAACGCTTAGAATCTTATAAGTACAAATCAAAGTTTTTTTTGTGTCTGAACAGATTCCGGTTTTCATTATTATCACTCTTTTTGATATAAATCGACCCAAGAAGAAAGGTCATCAAGACGATCACAGTGATCAAACCCAAAATTGTTATTTTATTGTTTATCTACCTCACAATTTTTTAATTTCCAGCTACAAGCGTTTGTAACGAGCGTCTCTAATCAAAACCCGGAGGAGTGTGCGACAGCCTCAAACAATGTCAAATTCCGTAGAAATTTTTGTTTCTCAAGCATAATTTGGGTGCTCAAAAAATTGCAGTATTAATTTGATTTGTATACATATGTTTGCCCTATTTATGTAGGACTGACAATCTTTGAATATGAAGATACAATGGTTACGTACACTCAAAATAATCTGGTGTCAATCCAGTGCGGTGTTGTCACATATAGACACCACGCGGTGTTGATGCGGGCAATTAACACCGCGCGGTGTCTATATGTGACTTCACCGCGCTGGATTGACACTAGATTATTTTGAGTGTATAAAAAATTAAATAAATGCCATTCAAAGCAAAAAAAAATTTGTAGACGAAATTTTTAAAAAATGAAAAAGTATAATTTTTGAGTACTTCTCAACCTTCATCGCTCCTGTATTACGTCGTCCGGTTTTAGGTGATGGAAACATTACAATGAATTTCTCACCTTACAGGTAAGGCTCAATTAATCGAGAATCGTATGTTAAGCCATCGCCCTACGAAGGCACTGAGGAGGGATGATGGTTGACAAGTACTCAAAAATTCTACCTTTCTTTAATTTTAGCAGTGCAAAGATTGCACCATAGTGAACCTACCGCTGGGGACGATTCATCTTCAAATTATCACACGTACGAGTATTGCTTCGTGTTATTTTAACGTGTAAAAGTGGGACGTACATATGCATAAAATAATCAGTAAGTTACAACTAAACTACTTGTTTATGGTTTCGTGGAATTCGCATGGTACATATTCCATACATATGCAATAGTTTTGCCAACGGGCAGTAAATGAGTTGAGAAGATGAGCTTGCCATAAGTCCAGTACAAATAGTCATCAATTGTGAAAAATTGAGGTTAGGATAGGTTAGTTAGGTTAGATTAGGTAAATTTTTTCATCATTTTTCGCATGCAAAATAAATTTATATAGATGGTGGTGGTGCATTAAAATTACATAAATGCAATAATTTTGTAATTTGGTAAATTTTATCGTAGTTTTATTTTAACATTCGTTATAAGCTTGGATTGTACATACATTTGTGGTCTAGTCCCTAATAAGTTTCCTAATTTTGTAATAAATTTTTATTGCAAAATACTTAATACAAATTTAATACAAAATACTTACTTAGAAATACTTAACTTGCAGTTTTACTTTGGTCAAATTTTCCTCCACTAAACTGTGGTACTACCGTAAAAACTCAAATAGTAGCCGGGGTCTACTATTTAAAAAATCGGTGGCTGCGACCCGGCTACTATTTGAGCAAGGCTACTACTTGGGCACGGTCACTATTTTTAAAATTATGAAAAGATGCACGGCTACTATTTGCAAACAGCTATTGTAATTTTGTTTCCAGAATCAAACTCAAATTAAATTTTAATAACAGCACAAAATTCTCCCTTAGATTCGTATTAGATGACAATTCTATAGGTTAGACCTGCTCTTAATTTTAATAATTTCTCCGATGAGCCGAATTTCGTGCTCAATTCTATTTTGTATAACTGAGATTAAATTTAATTGTGATTTAATTACTTAAATGAGCTGGCTAGGAGATGTCTGGTTGTATGAATGTACATTGGAAATTGACGAACATCTATAATTCGAATAAGGCTATTATTTGAGCACGGCTACTATTTGGGCAGGGCTACTATTTGAGCAAGGGCTACTATTTGAGTTTTTACGGTATGTATTTATATAGTACAGAAAGGTTTGGCACGTACGTGGATACGAATTTGACATTGAATAAACCCGGAACGGTTTGTCGCAGCCGGTCAAAATTTTGAACAGACGAGCATGTTATCCTCAGATGAGTGTGTGTAAAAGTCCAACTCTCTAATTTCAAAACTGGCTCCCCCACAGCCCCCAGACGTCGAGAGAGTCATAAAAACTCGTTGCAAACTTAAATACTCGTCTAGCCTAATAACAGAACATCTTAAAAGCGAAGGGAAAACATTTTCGAAATCTAGAGTCAATCTGGTATTGAAAAACATAGGTGAAAAGCCAGAAACTTTGAGCTAAGGGCAACCACCACCCCCTCTAGGAAGGCAAAAAAGTGTTAATTCCGCCGTGCTTAGGAAAAGTGACCTCTAGACCTCAAGAGACACTCCACTGACCCAAAGGGAAAGTTTCCGTAAGGTTGGGGTATCTAAGCGTTGAGTGAAAAGAGAAATTAAGATTTTGAAGAAACAGAATAACATTTTCCTAAATTGCACGGTAAAAAAATAATTAAGGTGATTTTTCATCATGACATAGCGTCTTCCCAGACGGTAAAGTTGAACTCAGATTATGCAAAGGACCTTGAAGCTAGATTGGGGATAAAAATCATTTTGAATAGTGAATTACCTGTACAATCCCGAGATATAAGTCAAATGAACTTATTTGGGGTCGAATACTTGAAAACACATTTTTCTGCGGAGACCGAATTTTTTACACCGAGTTTGGAAAAAGTTAAAATGACTGTTTCAACGTCTGGGGGCTGTGGGGGAGGCATTTTCGAAAGTAGAGAGTTGAATTTTTGCACACACGTGTCTGTGGATAACATGCTCGTCTTTTCAAAATTTTGACCCGCTGCGACAAACCGTGCTGGGGTTATTCAAGGTCAAATTCGTATCCACGTACGTGCCAAACCCTGTATCTCTGCGGGTGATGAATTGTGTCCAATTTATTTGAAGTGCACATATTTATATTCATATGTACGTTAAATAAATAAGTGTACTTATATTGACATTGCATTTATAGGCCCCTCAACGTACATACAGGCCCCGTTCAAGGGTATGTGGCGCCCTAGGCAAAAAGATAATGTGCGCCCGAACATGATCGCATATTCGGAATTTTTCTCTCTTATTATATACTTTTATACAAATTTGGCTATTGCACTAATTGCATTTGCAGAAATTAGCACTTTTGAAATAATATTTTTAATTTGTTAAAAACTAGAATACGTTTTACCGATTTTTTATACGTTGTTTTGAATGATAAGTAAATTATAAAACTCCACAAATGTGTTTTTATCTAGTGTACACGGGCAACCACCAGCACCCAATTAAATTAGCGCCCTAGGCGGTTGCCTAGCTCGCCTGTGCCTAAAACGGGGCCTGCGTACATATTTATGCATTTGATCTATATATAGATTCAACCTTTGTAAAAATCTCATTTTGCCCCGACCACACCCCCTGGGTGGGAGGGGTGCGGCACAAGTAAGGAGCACTTTATTTAACTGTGTCTCAAGCATACATTAAATTTTTCAAAAAATCTCATTTTGCCCCGACCACACCCCCTGGCGCCCAGGGGGTGTGGTCCGATTGGCCCCAAAAGTTGATATGATCCTCCCCCTGGGGTCCTATGTATAATGTCGAAAACAGATTTCGATTATCTTGATCCGTAATCTTCTTCTCCCGTAATCCTGCTGACAGACGGACAGACAGACAGACAGACGGGCAAAGGCTTCACATAAAGTAGCTGAAGGTACTTAATAATAAATATGAATATATTTCTAATCGTGCTGTGCATTTACGTATTCATGAATATAATTATTGTCCAGTCCGAGTAGACTTTTCCTTATAAATAGGTTGACATGACCACGTCTGACGTCTGTCTGCACCAATAGATTAAGTACTGAAAGAACCACTAATTTAAAAAAATTAATGTATTTGACTCCATATAAATATAGATTGGTATCTTTATCTTCTCTCGCAGTAAGAGATCTCATTCTTCTCAATTTATTCGCCTTGTCAGCGCATTATAAATATTTGCAAATTATCCGATCATAACTACGCACTTTACATATTTCTGAATAGTCATAATTTCCAAAATTTGGATACCATTCTAAAAAATTTAGTCTAGCTTCTTTGGCAAAAGCTATGATTACTATTCCGTTTATCTTTATCGTCGCGTTGGTGGGGGCGGTCGGATACTATGTTTTGTGTGGGAGGAGGAAAAATAAAAATTCGTTCGAATTGAAGGGAAAATTTCCGCCAGGTGAGTTACATACTTAGTTTTACGGAAAAGTATGCAAATTTCATGAAACCGTAAATTGTAAATGCGCTCAAGATCCTATTAAAGTGAGTAAACTATACGAAATCCAGAGTAAACGTTGACTTTATTAGAAGCAAAATTTACTCTGAAGTTAGTGTAGGTTGTAGTTTACTAAATTCATGGTGATACGACAAATATGTAAACGACGTTTATGTAACGACAATTATGTAACGACCTTTATGTAAACGACATGTATGCTACCCGATAAATATGCAATTTTCGGACTTTAAAGAGTGCACTTACCTTCAAAAAACGTGACATAATTTTTTAATAGGACAAACGAAAAACATTATCCGCTGGATTTAAATAAATTCTGTTTTTATTAAATTTTGTGTACCAAGGACCTCGTGGACTCCCGTTTCTTGGAAACATATTACAACTCAGTAGGACAAACCCTTTCCTCTTCCCGCCCAAGTGGGCGGAGCAGTACGGAGATATTTACTCCATTTCTATGGCGGGAACTAAGTAAGCTAAATACTTCGACGGACCTAAGTGTATATTTTTTAGCTTATGTTTTGTTACCTAGGAAAGAAAAATCCCGTAGTTTTGTTATTCGAAACCCACACCCATCGCAGCTTAAGTTCTTGCAGTAAAACTTTGTAGAATTATGTAGAAAATTTCTTCCCAGTCCATGCTTCAGAATCGTTTGTGTATAATTATGAACAATTCTACACAATTATGCATAATCATGTACAGCGTGGTTTAAACCAAGAACAAATTTTGCAGTGGGAAAAGTCGCTAAATCTCCATTAATTACAACATTTGGGATTGGCATTTATATTTTTATTTATTTCTACTAATTATTAGCTCGTCCTGCTTACATTAGAGCTATTGAATTCCTCCTGTCCGTCTGTCTGTCCGTCTGTCTGTCCGTCTGTCTGTCCGTCTGTCTGTCCGTCTGTCTGTCCGTCTGTCTGTCCGTCTGTCTGTCCGTCTGTCTGTCCGTCTGTCTGTTAATGAGTTTTTTGCATCAATTGATGCTAATTAAGTAGGCACATGTCAATTTTTTAGGAAATTAATAGCACGTTTCGTATCGAACAAGCGACACACAAAATGGTGCCAAACAATTGGGAGAATTGATTCAATACGCACCAAAAGTGCAGAATAACCCACAGAAATACATCCCGAGGAAAGGGGCCTAAAAAAGTCGAAATCATGTAAAATTTATGCGTGTATTTTTCCCGCTTATTCTCCACCATTGGTGCAAAACCCCACGAAAATTATGCATTTATTTTCTCCGCATTATTTTCTACCACCGTTGTAAAATTCTATCAAAATCATGCATTTTTTGTCCATTTATTTTGCACCATTGGTGCAGAAGTTTATGTACCAACTAATGTTGTCACCGAAGTATTACAGGACGAGCTACTTCTAACGTTACTACGTCTTATTTTATTACCAAAAATTGTGGCACTCTGATGACAAGATTGCTAGAATTTTGAATTTGAGACAATATTTCTGTAACTAAACGAATTTTTCCCATTGAAAAATTTGCCATATTAGCTTGACATTTAAACCACCCTGTATGTAAACACTGCTCACTGTAAGCAGTGTTTCAGCACAAGACCTGGCCAATTTTTGGCAGGAAAGCTGCAAATATTTTCATACAGGTTAAAAAAATTTGTTAAAATGTTCACTCCGTAATTTTCAGAGTTTACGTGATCTCCGACTTTAAAATTCTGAAGGACATGTTCTCTCAGGAACCAGCTTTCGCCGGTCGTTTCAAGCTCGGTGGTGATAGTCTGATTACTGATTTGTATACGAATGGACAACTCCACGGTATGGATTATGCAAATGGACTAATGCAAAATGTATCAATATATGCATGTTACCATATGCAAAAATAGATATATGCCAATTGCATCCATACCTGTTCAAAAAATTGTTTTCATTCAAAATTCATTCATCCCAATTCATTTCTAAAAATTGTCATGCATATTTACTAATTTTCTTTCGAACTCATTTCATTTCACTTCATCGGGCTTTATTTCTCATTTCGCCCTATGTGTGATAAAAAGAGGGGGAAATCCATTCATTGGCTCTAATTTATCTCAGATGAAGGAATCTTCCAGTCATTTTTATTCAAATTACACGAAATTAATTTTCATTAACTCTAATTCATTATCAAAATCCGTCAAATGAATGGCAGCGAACTGGTATGACTGCATCAACAACATGTCAATTTGCTATATAAATTATTTCTTGAGAAGGTATCATAAATTCGGAAGGAAAGCGGTGGGAGGAACTCCGCCGGTTTACAATTCGCCAATTGCGGGAGTTCGGTTTTGGCAAGAGCACCATGGAAGCTCTGATCATGGACGAGCTTAAGGAGCTATTGGACTGGATGAAATCCACGGAGGGTCAAGTCATCTCAGACATCAAGGACAAGATGACCGTCGCTATGGTCAATTCGTTGTGGATGATCATTTCGGGACACCGGTACAAACACGATGACCCAAAAATATTGGCCTTGTCGGAACAATTGGCAGAGTAAGTTATAAATATCATTACCGACTGGAGTATAAACATATGTGACTCTCCCAGCCCTGGTAGTAACGAGCATTTATTACCTATCTACATAGTGGGACCATTAGTTACAGCACAAGCATTTCTGGTGTTAAATCACAAAATAGTTTACCTATTTGTTAGAAATTTTTATGGATGAAAAAGATACTGGATATGGATGAAAAAGATGAAAAAGATTACGAACAATCCTACTTAATTTTCATAAACATCATATCAACCCGTCGCCCGGCGGGAGACGGGCTTAAACGCTAATTTAGAATATACTTGGATCTCTAATTTTAACCACAAGCCACAATCCAATGGATTATGGCCTTTTGATGCTGAGTGCCATTCTTACGATGAAATAAAATCAGGAATAATTAACCATTAAATCCTCCCCCAAATTATTTACACTTGTTCATGTGAACTAGGTACGTTTGATGATTTGTATTTAATTTCAATACATTTCAGAGTCCTTGAATTGGCCGCGAAAGGTGGTGGCATAGTTCTGTTTTGGCCCTGGTTAGAAAAATTGGGATACAAAGGCTTCACCGCATTCCGAAACTACACCGATAGAATGAGAAACCTGCTCACCCAGACGGTCCAGGAGCATAAAGAAACATGTGTAACGGATTTTTCCAGGTACACACACTCTTAATAAGGGGACGTTCTTAAACTTCATAACGCAAATTTTTGGTTTTCTGGACACCCGCCCACCACCTTTAACATGTGTCACATAGGCACGATATCATTGGGCCGACCCCCCACCCACCCCCCTTTGCGTTACGAAGTTTACGAACAAGTAAACTTCGTAAACTTGTTTCCCCTAACACGGTAATACATAATCGGCCCCGAACGGGGTGCATATATGGCTTGACGATAGTTTCTTTCACTAATGAATTAATGGTTACAAATCTTTTTAAGGGATTAATATATTCCAAATGTTTACAGGGACTTTATAGACGTGTTTCTTAAAGAGATCAACACCTGTGAGGACCCCAGTTCCGCCTTTTTCAAAGATGTCGGAGGTATTTACTTAACTGATAATGAAACTTTTTGTTCCATTATCAGGAAAGAGTTGAATCAAGTAAAAAAACGAATCACGTGGCCCCTATATTTTCGTTGAATGGCCACTTTTTGCATAAATTTTGTCTCACCTTTTCCTCCACGAAAAGGAAGGCGATCGTGGGTATTTTGATGTCCAATATTTTTCTTCAAGGAGGCCATTCAACGGGATGATAAGCGAAATGTGATTCCTAATTTTTGGCTTGATTTTTTAGGATATAAGTCAACGTAGCTTGAACAAAAAGGTTCCACTGTTGTATTTTTAAGGGTTTCTGTTGTCGCCGTGAATAATTTTACTTATTTTGAATAACGATATAATTTTTAACTGATAATTTAAGGTTTTAACTGTATGTAAATTAATGATTTGAGATATTGGGCATGGGCAATGACACGTTATGAAACAATTTATGAATATGAAATTATCGTATGTATGTATGTATGATGGAAAATGCTTGTGCAACAAAAAGTCATGACAAAGTCAAAATTATTTTATAAAACTGTTTGATCAATACGGTCTCATCGTCCCTTCCCCCAAATAAAACTGTGAATACACGGGGGAATTGTTTCGAGGTGGCGTATCCCGCAGACAAAAATTTCAACAGAGCATCATTTTATTTCCAATTAATTAAAAAAAAGTGTAATAAAAATTTTGAAAATTCTCATATTTTGATAATTTCCACAAAAAATATCAGAATTGATGGCCGTAATTCCCCACAGTAGACTGGAGCACCATCTTTCATCCAGTTCCGCTGGTCTCAACTCGGCTAATTTCACTCGGATACGACTACTGCCAAATGATGATCGTTTGATCAAACACAATGACTCGTTTTCAAACACAATAGGTATAGAAAATGCACATAAACTCAAACCAAACCGTCAGCAATGTAACTTTTTTTAGCCAAACCCTCAGAACAGCATTGCAGCAACAGCCCAACCAAATGGAAATGATGATGGTTAGTTTTGTTCCCTACTTGGTTTTCGTCTGCTTTGCTTCCTTGAAAAGGTTTCTTCAATATTTATTTGTAAGAAATTGCTGCAAACTTTAACCACTCCCACAGGCCTTGGGTGTGGTCGGAGAGCATAAGCGATAAGGACTAAAGTTGAAGCCCTTGAGATTATCTTTCGAATGACACCATATTTGAGGGGGGTAAAGCGGACACATTTGTCGTCCATGTGACCTGTGACCTTCACGGTCATGACCTGAGACCTTACACCAACATTTTCTTACAAGTTCGTATTTTATATAATTTTTTGAAGCAACTTCAAAAATACGAACCCTTATGATTGCTCCCACGTGGCGTTTGAGTCATGTAGTACATGAACGACCAAAATTTGAGGGTTGCTTCGTTGCATTACGGCAGAGTCCCGCAAAGGCGCTGACGGAGACATTTATTCCATTTCCATGGCAGGAACTGAGTAAGCAACTTTACCAGAAGGCTATATTTTTTATGTACATGGTCAATTTTTGTTTGCATTCAAAAGTTAGTCATCCCCATGAGCAGACTCCCTTACTCAACTGATAATAAATAATACATTGTCCATCATGACTAGACATGCACCGAGTACCGAAAAAGTCGACTCGGCCGAGCACCGAGTACTCGGTTATATTTTTGCCGAGTACTCGTTTCTGCTCGTTTGCCGAACACCGAGCAAACCTCGGCAATCGAGTACCGAGCAAGGCTCGCCCACCGAGTAAATTGTCAAAAACATCATCAAAAAAATCATTGTTTACATAATATTTAATTACTAGTACATTTATTTTGAGAACTGATGGACGGAATCATGTGAAGCTACTGATTCTTATTCCGTTTCCAGCATTTCGATTAAAGTTGATTACCCGATAGAATTAACAAATTTCATTGGTGTATTTTTCAAGTAAGCTTGATGTTGATTGGAAAAATCACATGATGGATAATTTGAACTGCTCGGTGTAAGTACCAGGTAAAGTGATACTGGATGCATATAAAAATTTAAGAAATACTCGGCCGAGCACGCAAAAATACTCGGCCGAGTCCGAGTAGTGAGAACACGGCCAAAACCTGCCGAGTACTCGGTAGCGCCGAGTACTCGGTAGCGCCGAGTACTCGGTGCATGTCTAATCATGACGATCACGATAATCCCACCATCCGCAACCAACGTGGACGAAATGTTAAAAATTTCAACACATTAGAAATACGAACACAATTCTCCTAAAATAAAGTTTTGAATTTTGAACCTGAAATTTTTTCAGTTTTTTCAAATTTAAAAAGTGTACCTGATGTAATTTAGGCAGGGATGGGCAATCCCAACAATTTCGATGGATTACGGATTACAGATTAATTAATTTAAAAATTATCAGGAGATTACTGGATTGGGATTACTTTGTTCCTGAAATAATGTGGATTACTTGTTGGATTACTGGGATAAATTAATGTCGTGGATTACGGATTACGGATTACAGTAATCAGATTACGGATTATTATCTGGATTACAAAAATCTATATTTATGTATTAAAAGGGTGAAGAGAAGCGAAATCCCTTTATGGAAAAGTGTTGTCCGCCGGTCTGTCTCCACGATAACTTTAGAACGGTTTTCAACAAGCGGTTTTCGCCAACGGGTTTCTAATTTTTGAGGTACGGATGAGTTCGAAGATGAGAATTGTAGGTCATAAGGTCACGGCGCCACGGGTAAAACGTGTCGAATTTTTTGTTTTGGCCGTTTTAGACGTAGTTTCTGGCGAAAATTACAAAAATCTAAATAGTTTTGACGTCATATGACCGAGTGACCGTGTCGACGACGCCAAGGTCGAAAATGTCGAATTTTTGTCTTGATACTTTTAGACGTCGTTTTAGGCGGGATTTCAAAACTAAAATCTAGATATAGTTTTGGCATTCCATGACCGCGTGACCGTCTCGCTCCACCCCTTTGCTACATTTCGTTCGCAACGGTTTATTCTGAATAGCGTCACACTTATATTTCATGATGATGATAAGTTCAAAAAAGAAGAGCTTTGAATGATTCATCTGACAGTCGGTTTCTTCGGGCAGACAAAACTGTGTTATAGTAAATAAACCCCTCTTAATTGTTCCAAAATTCTCTAAAATTTGCAACTCTGCTGAAAAATCCAGAAGGTAGTTTAAGCACTCAAGTTCAGCAAGTGACTCAGACTCTGGAGAAGTTGCGAGATGGAGCTGTCATGCCGTTTACAGGAGCAAAGTAATCCAGCAAAGTAATCCGTAATCTGATTACATTTTCCAATCTCGTAAATTGGGGATTACGGATTACATGTAATTTCCAGACCTAGTTAGGATTACGGACTACGGATTACTTTAAAATGTGAATTTTTCGTGGATTACTGGATTACGGATTACATTCAATGTAATCTGATTACTTAATCTGATTAAAGTAATCCTGGGATTGCCCATCCCTGAATTTAGGTTATTTTTTGATGCCGTGGTGCATGTGCTCCTGCTTGGCCAAACTTATGGGCGAGCATCATGCACCACGGCATCAAAAAATAGCCTAAATTACATCAGGTACACTTCTTAAATTTGAAAAAAAAACTGGAAAAATTTCAGGTTCAAAATTCAAAACTTTATTTTAGGAGAATTGTGTTCGTATTTTTAATGTGTTGAAATTTTTAACATTTCGTCCAGGTTGGTTGCGGATGGTGGGATTATTGTGATCGTCATGATGGACAATGTATTATTATCAGTTGAGTAAGGGAGTCTGCTCATGAGTAAACATTTTCAGTCATTTTCTTTCAAGCTCATTCCATTTCACTTCATTTCTTACTTCGCCCAATGTATTAAGCTTAAATAGGTCATATCAGCATCGGTGACTCTTAACGCTACAACGCATGCATGGACATGTGCATATGTATGCATGCAATTAATCTTACAAGGGAAGATTCCCAAATGCTCGTCGTGTCCAGGGCGGCCAATCAAAATTACATAATGTACAATTTAAGAAGCCATCCATATATTATGTCATCAAAAAATTTAGTTTGTGGCACCCACCCACCTAACGTAAACATTAAGGTATAGGGAATTTTAACATGGGGAACATAAGAACACCAAAACCACCCACGTACTAAAATGATGACGTAATATATGGACGTTCCCTTAATCTACCAAAACTAGATATTACGCAATTAATCTATTCATACTTATTAATTCTATTTTGTGAGCTGTTCCTTAACCTCTTTTCCCAGTTTCCAAGAAAATGTTGAAAGAAAAAAATTCCATTCACTCCTATAAATTTATTTACAGGTGTACGTTATCTCCGACTACAATATGGTGAAGGATATCTTCTCCCAAGAACCAGCTTTCGCCGGGTGTTTCAATATCGGCGGAGATATGTTAATTACTGATTTGTATTCAACTGGACAACCTCACGGTGAGTGTTAATTAGCAGAATGCAAAAAATAAATGCTAAGATTGAATTCCATATATTACGCAAACTTAATTAAATCCAGGATAACGTTAACTTGCAAGAGTGTAAAAATGACTCCGCAATTAGCAGTTTTCTTAATATATGATTCAGACTGTGCTTTTGTATTTTTAAAAAGTTAACATTATTCTTAAAAGCGAAAATTTACATATTATGTATCTGCACAAATCTATCAATTATTTTCATAAATTTCCAAGGCATCATAAACAGCGAAGGGAGGCCGTGGGAAGAACTCCGCCGTTTTACAATTCGCCAATTGCGGGATTTCGGTTTTGGCAAGAGCACCATGGAAGCCCTGATCATGGACGAGCTTAAAGAGCTATTGGACTGGATGAAATCCACGGAGGGTCAAGTAATCTCCGACATTAAGGTCAAGATGAGCGTCGCTGTGGTAAATTCGTTATGGATGATCATGTCAGGACACCGGTATAAACACGACGATCCAAAAATATTGGCGCTATCCAAGCAATTGACGGAGTAAGTAGGCTGCTACTTTTGTAGAGCAAATATGTATCTCTGCGGGACAAAAAAGACATAGTTTGGCCTCATTTACATCACGAGTTATATGTACGAGAGCAGGAGATT